CTTTTATTTTTATTCTATGTGTATGAGTGTATTGCCTGCGTGTGTGTAAGTTCACCCATATCCTCAGAGGTCAGAAGAGGTTATCAGATCCCCTGGAACTGGAGATAAGGACAGTTGTTTGCTGCCATGTGGGTGCTGGGAACTGAAACCAGGTCCTCTGCAAGAGCAACCGGTACTCTTAACCACAGAGCCATCTTTTCAGTCCCTCATTTTTTTAAGCCTCATAAAATAGTTAAGATTCATGCAGAAAGTACAAAGAAACAGAAGGGAGAAAAATCATATCTAGTACAACCTAAAATTGGTATAGTGGTTGGGCATCCTTTTTTTTTCCTTTTTTGGTTTTTTTGAGACAGGGTCTCCCTGTAGCCCCAACTATCCTGGAGCTCAGTATGTAGACCAGACTGGCTTTGAACTCACAGAGATCCACCTGCCTCTGCCTCCTGCATGCTGGGATTAAAGGCGTGAGCCACCACAGCCGGCTTGTACACCCTTTTTAAGTTCAAATTATATGGTGATCATTTTCCTGCTTCAAGTTTCTTGAAGCTCTCTTTTTCATTGGCAGGTTCATCTTGCTTAGTCAAAGGGTGATTTAGGTAGCTGTGTCTTATTGAATGTTTGCTGTGTACCCAAGTTGACATGTTATCCTATGTTGCATCCCCGCTTTTTTTTTGTCTTATTTAGACAGGGTCTCCCTGTAGCCTCAGCTGGCCTGAAATTTACTATGTAGACCAGGCTGGCCTCAATCTACAGAGATCTGCCTGCCTCTGCCTCCCTCGTGCCGGGATTAAGGCATGCACCACCACACTTGGCGCATCCCTTATTTTTTTACCTAGCATAGATAAATCCCAATTCTGTGTCAAGGGCATGAGCAATTTTTTTTTGCCAGCTGACAGTTTGCAGTGATCCTTCTGCCTCTGTCCCTTGAGTGCTGGGATTACAGGCCTGTGCCACTGTGCCCTGAGGACTTGAGCATTTTTAGGCTATGTCCATCTTGTTCTAAAATGATTGTAACAGGGCTGGAGAGACAGCTCAGGCTTGCCTGTAGTACACTTACATACATGCAGAGCAAAATACTTGTATGTATAAAAATAATAAAATCTTTTAAAAAGTTGGAAAGATTGTTAACAGTTTATATTACACAAGCAGTTTGTGATTTGTTTCACTGTTCCAACTTTTAACAATGTAACACTGGAAAGCACCTTACTGTTTGAATCATTTAATGTTTCCTTTCTTTGACTACTAAAACCTTTGCATTTCTTTTCTGGCTGTTCATATGTATCTTTTCCAATAGTAATGATTGTCAGCTCGTGTTTCTAATTTTTTTCCTTAGGATTGTGGTAGTGTTTTAAGAGCTCTTCCAATACAATTAATTTTTTTTTCAAATTTTTTTGTAATACTTTTTCTTAGTGTTCTGTTTTAACTTGGCTTTAAAAATATTGGTGACATTAAAAAATTCTCAAAAAAGTATATTCACGTATGTTTGCATGTGTTTATGCATGTGTGTGTTTGAGCTCGTTTGTGCATGTGTGTGTTTGGCCTCATGTGTGCATGTGCATATGCATGTGTCTGCATCCTTGTGTAGGCCAGAGTACAAACTCGGGTGTCTTTTGTCTTGACGTAAAGTCTCGCTGGGATCAGAGCTCAGTGATTAGGCTATGCTGGCTGGTCGTCGAAGCCCAGGTATCCTCCAGTCACCACCTCCCCAGTTCTGCCGTTACAGGGACTGACCACCATGCCTAGCTTTTTAATGTGTGTGCCTGTGCCGAGGATTGAACTCAGGTCCTCACTCTTGCTCAGCAAGTACTTTACCAACTGAGCTATCTCCCAGCTCTCACTTTTGAAATTGTAGTCTTTAATTTTACAATCAACTCATTAGCTCATTAATTATACTGTATTAAACTACCTGGACTCAATTATAGGTCATTAATCTATAATATTGAACAATCTACGTTCCTGGGCGTGTCATAGTCTGGATTTGATGGTGCTTTACTTCACAGCGCAGTTGCAGTTAGTATTGATCGGTTATTACCTTTTATCTATAGGCCTTTCTTGCTAGCTATGTTCACTTTGGAGCTACAGCGTGGTGGCTATTCAATCGCTGTTAGTCCAACTGGTGAAAGACGGGGCAGCTTTTTACTTTCTCAGATGTTGCTTATTTTTACTTTGTTAGTTCAAAGACTGACGTAGATGAATTATATTTTTAAAAATTTTTTAGGTCTTTTTGAGACATGGTCTCCCTGTAGCCCCAGCTGTCCTGGAACGCACTATGTAGACCAGGCTGGCCTTGAACTCACAGAGATCTGCCTGCTTCTGCCTCCCGAGTGAGTGCTGGGACTAAAGGCGTGCACTACCATGCCCGGCTACTTTTTAAATTTTACTGAATTTTTTTAGTGGCCTGATCCACATTCTGTTTGAATGTTTGAGAAGAATTTGTATTTTTGATCAAATACAAAGTCATTTAGATATGGTTTACATTATTATTATTTTGCCTTTTGTGTTTTTTTGTCATTGTTTATTATTTTTTTTTCGAGACAGTGCTCTGTATGTTACCTAGACTGGCCTCAAAATCATGAGGATCCTCCTGCCTCAACCTCCCTAGTGCTGAGATTACAAGCATACTGTACCACACCTACCATAGTATGTATTAAATGACACCTGTTAAATCATTTGTGGCTTTATTTGGGTTTTAGTTAACCAGTTTCAAAGGTGTATTTTGAAGACTGACAAATCTTTTCTGAGTCTCCCACCCCCTTTGTGATAACTGTCCTTCTTTGATACTATTGGTTGATTATTGTTGTTACTAAATAATTAATTAATTTTTGTTTCTTTGTTTGTTTGGTTTCTTTGAGACAGGGTCTCCCTATAGCCCCAGCTGGCCTAGAACTTACTATGTCGACCAGCATTCTGTGTGCCTTTGCCTCCTGATTGCTGGGATTAAAGATGTGTGCCACCATGCCCAAATTGATTTATTTATTATTTTATGTGTATGAGTGTTTTGCCGGCATGTATATAAGTGCACCATGTACATACAGTGCTAGAGGAGACTGGAAGACAGCATCTGTTGGATCCCCTGGAACTGGTGTTACAGATAGTTGTTAGCCACCATATGGGTGCTGGGAACCAAACATAGGTCCTCTGCAACAGTGGCCAGTGATTTTAACTGATGAGCTCCAACTCGGATACTATTTTTTTTTAATGTATTTGTTTATCTGTGTAAGAATGTGTCTGCCTGAGTGCGTGTGCATGTGTATGCATGAGGGTGGGGGTGCCTACATGTGTGCGGAGGCCAGAAGAGGCTATTGAATCCCTCAGAGCTGGAATTGGCAGGTGTTAGTGGGATGTCTGCCTGACTTGTTGCATAGGTGCTGGATCTGAACTCCAGGTCTCATGCTTATACAACAAGTACTCTTAACCACTGAGTCATTTCTCTGTTGTGCCTCCCCCTTTTTTTTCCTCCCCTGAGACAGGGTCTTATGTAGCCAAAACTGACCTTGAACTCTATAGCCAAAGATAACCTTGAACTTCTCAGCTTATTTGAATTCCCCAATTTATTTGGTGCTGGGGATCCAACCCAAGACGTCATGCATGCAGGCACACACTCTGCCAACTGAGCTGCATCACCAAACTTCCTGCTACTTCTGATTTGTATCTTAGGAACATGATGCATTTGGGGGTTGATGTGAGTTTGTGGGTCTCTCCCTCCCCTCGTGGGCCATTGGCCACTGACCCACGAGAACAAAGGGAGCAGAAGCAATGAACAGGGTCAGGACGGCCAGTGAGCATGGATGGAAAAAACCTTCCAGGGAGTCAGATTCAGTGATACAGTTCCATTTATTCAGTGGGGATCAGGGAAACATATAGTGTGGAGGCAGCAGCCAAAGCTTCATCTGATAGGAGTTCATAGTATGATTTATTTACATGTGATAGGGGGATCCTATCATCTGGCTATAGGGTGATGCCTAATTATCATAAAGAAAAAACCTGAGGAGCAGTTTTATTGCAGGTAACTATGCCAAAAGTCATGTTCTAAATAAGGCCAGGTATCTGTGCTTGGAGGCACTTTCCAGATAAGTCAGGCAGAGAGCAGGAAGCCCCTGCTAAGAAAGGAGTGGGCCACAACAGCAGGGTTCCCCAACATCGATGCATGAATATGTGTTGTAGAGGCCAGATGTTGATGTTGGTTGTCTTCCTCAGTTGCTGTCCACTTTTTTTTGTAAGACGGGGTCTCTCACTGAGCCTGGAGCTCTCTTGTGTAGCTAGACTGTTTTGCCAGTGAGCCTCAGGGACCCTCTTGTTCATTTACCCAGCCCTGGGATTACAAGTATGTACCATTATGCTTGGCTTTGTATGTGGGTTCTTGGGATCCAACTCAGGACCTCATGTTTACAAGGCAACTTCTTTACTGACTGAGCTGTCTCCCCAGCCTTCAAAATTTAATTCTAAATAGATTTCCCTGGTGCATTGGATATTAGGAAATACCAAGCCAGATTTGTGATTCCTTCTAGCAAATGCTAGGTGCCATGCGTATTGTGGTTGTCAAGATAGCAATTCGTCTTTAATTGCCATTTCATTTTTCCTCACTCTTATTTTCCTTTCAATGTAAGCAGTTGTATTTACATTTTTTCTTTTCTTTTTTTAAATTTTTATTTTATGTGTATGAGTGCAGTGCCTTCGTGTGTGAGTGCACCTGTGTCGTACAATGTCTCCTGAGGTCAGAAGAAGGTGTCAAATCCCCTGGAACTGAAGTTACGGATGGTTATTAGTTGCCATGTGGGTGCTGGGCATCAAATCCGGGTCCTCTGCAAGAGCAGTCAGTGCCCTTAACTGCTGAGCCATCTCTCCAGCCCCCATTTTTTCTAACTACCTTTTATTCTGTGTGTATGTGTGTGGGTGTGCACACATCATGGCATGAATGTGGGGGTCAGAGGACAGCTTAGCAGGAGTCAGTTCTCTCCTTCTACCATGTGAGTCCTGAGGATCGAACTTGGCTGCAGATGCCTTTGTCTGCTAAGCCATCTCGCCGACCCAGCAATTACATTTTGTATTTTATCTTTTATGCAAGATACCCTGAATCCTTATATCAATTAAGCTGGTTCTGAATATACCACAAGTGTAATTAAACTACTCCTAAATTTGACTGGTGGGGGATACGGGAGTCTTTTTTTGCTTTACTGTGTAGGTGTAGATTGTCTTAGCTGATGCTGAGCATCTCTATTTTCAGTGTCGATGTCTTTTTAAGTATCAGACAGATTCTATATGTATTTATAATATGGTCTGTTCTATCATAGTACTTTTCCTTTTTGTTTTATTTTATTTTAGAATATTTTTATTATTCCAAAGAGAGGCAATTTTTAATACATTTTTCAGAAATAACTTGAAGCAGGTTACATAAAAATATATATACAATGAAGTTGGGTGTGTGTGGATAGGAATAAGAAATCAAAGACCAAAGGATTTGCCAATATGGGGTCAATTTTGGTGGAATAATGCTATCATGGTACTTATACCATTCATCCTCTATCAAAGAAGAAAGAGGTAAAGAAGGACTCCTTTTGTTACTTGTCTTGTATTAAAGTGAATTACTAGATTTTATTTCCTGCTGAACTTCAAGAATCTAGGCAACTTGTTGCTAAGTTCAGCCCAATTGTATATTTCCAAATTATATGCAAAACATATTTAAACATAGTAATTTCATTGATTTAGGAAATTATTTTAAAACCCAAATGAATGGCATTAGTGTTGTAACTTTGGGAAAATTA